AGCAGAGAGCCTGATGCAGGGCTCAACCCCAGGACCCAGGGTTTGTGACCTGAGCCCAAGGCAGACCCTTAACTATCTGAGCCACCCAGGCGCCCAGTGGATATTGTTTCAAACAAATGTAAACAAAAAGAAAGAACTGGAAATTTGAACAATGGCTGGATTTGGTGATAGTGAGGGATGATTTATTTAGGGTGAGAATAGTACTCAGATTATGCTTTTATTCTTTTCTTTAGAGAGAGAGAAAGAGTGTGAGTGGGGGCCAGGGAGGGGCAGCTAAGGAAAGGGAAAGAGAAAGGGCCAACCTTAAGCAGGCTGCACACTCAGCACTCAGTGTGGAGCCTGATGTGGGGCTGGATCCCACAGCCCTGAGATCAGGACCTGAGCCAAAACCAAGAATTAATACTCAACCGACTAAGCCACCTTGGCGCCCGAAGATTATGTTTTCAAAAGAGTTTTTTTGTGTTGATGAGATAGTTCTGTATCTTGACATCCTTTTTTTTTTTTTTTTAGATTTTATTTATTAGAGAGAGAGAGAGAACACAGAGGGAGAACGAGAGGGAGAAGCAGACTCCCTGCTAAGCAGAGAGCCTGATGTGGGGCTCAAACCCTGTGTTAGGGTTCCGGCCTAGGGGCATGGCAGGCCCCACCTGCCGGTGTAGAGGCAGGCTCCCAGCGGGGCTGAGCAGAGCACGGGTTTGGCGGCATTCGGAGGAGACCAGTGCCTCGAGTACACCTGCCCTTTAGAGCGCTGTCCCATAGGCTTCAGGAGATGCCACCCAGAACCCCGGCCTGGGCACAGGAGACTCCCCCGAAGGCCTCTGCTGCTGGAAGCGAGTTCTCCTGGGCTTTCTGGCCAATTCTCACGAGCTTTCTGCCCAAATCGACATCGATTCTGGACGAGTCTGATTCAGCCCTCAGCAATGTTATGCAGCAGCTGGCTCCCTGGACCCTGTGTGGCACTGGCACGGGCCTGGCCTAGGCCACTTGTGCCGTCGCGATGGAGAAGCCTAGCTTTTTCCATCCTCCTCTACCCTCTGTCAGCATCTGGCTTTCCCACCAGCCATGTCTTTGCAGACAAACTCTGAGATGGTCCATGGCTTGGGAGTCCATTGACATCCCACAGTCTCGTTATAACCAGTGTCAGAGGTTTCTGGGGCCCTGCCGTGACCTTTTGTTCCCAGAATATGCCCCAGGTAGTGTCTCAGGAGAGTCTGGGAGCCCAGGAAAAATACAGGGGTGGTTTCGGCTCTAGCTACAGTCACTCTGGGAGATCCTGCTGGAGGCCATCTCCCATCTCTGTCTGGCTCTTCTGCTGATTTCCAAGACGACCTAGGAGAGTCACTTCATTGGAGCTTAAGACTCATGCTTTCTAAAAGGAGGAAATGGTTTCAGATGAATTGATTCATGCAAGACGATGGAATGAACTCCTGGAAAGTTCTGGGCAGTCTCCGGGATGGATTCTATCTCCGGAGTTCAGACTCCCATCGACCCGCTCCTATGGGGTCCCCTATGGGACACAAAGGCTGTTCCACGGAGATTCTTCAGGGCAACACTGGACTAGCCCGTGACTTCAGGGTGTGCCCCCAGGCCATCTGATGTGGCTGAGGGGCACATGAGCCATCCTGAACCCAAACCAGGGTTTTGGCTGTGCTGCCTGACTTGCACAAAAATAGCAGCGCGTGGGGCAGGTCTTCACTGCAACTGCTGAGCCGGCTTAGTGAGGACCTTGCCCAGGACCCTAGCCCCATGACACTGAGGGCACGGAGAAGTCAGGCAATGCGACAAGGGATTCTCCATCAGGGTAGATGATGCAAGATATCGTTTCACAGCAAACATGACAAAAAACATGTAAATGACAGAACAGTAAGTAGTTCAACGTACTCTCTTTGATGGCAGGGATGGGAAAAGGGAACGATGGGGTCCGAAAGGGGATTGGGAGTTCCAAGAAGCAGGCGGGAGTCGTCAGAGGGTAGGGGGTGTCTCATGGAGGAAGGGACCAGGAGGCTGGTCACGGGCTCCAACAGGACAGCTCAGGGTGTGCACTCTGCCTGACCCACGACCCCCGGGGGCACTGGGGGCATTCTAGCTCCAGAGGATCTGCAGACTGCATATTGGCCTGAGCAGACCCTTTGTGGTAGGTCTTCTTTGTTCCTGGGGGGTGGCTCTTTCTCTGCTTTTGGAGGTTGTTGATTCTCCTTTGATTTTCTCTGAGCTGCACCATTTTGCACTGTTTTATTGGTGTGGATTCAGTGCTGTTAGTTGACACAAATTCTTCCCGCAAGGGAGTGGAATAGAAGCCATCCTTGTTTCCCAAGTTGACCTGAACAGATTCCATGGTCATAGCCCTTTCCCAGGGCCCTGGGTCTTCACGTGCTCTCCAACTCCAAGATTTTAGAAAACATCTTCTATGCTTAACAGGTTGAAAGAATTCGTTTGGTTTTTTAAAAATTCAACAACGTCACATTTTTCATCATCTGTACAATGACCTTTAAACATTGAATGAACAAGGCTTGACAGGATGACGGAAGCATTAATGGACTTTGCAGTGGCGTTTGGGGCACTGTTGACTCACTGTTGCCCCCATGTGGCCACTCTCCAGATAGCACGTAGCCGAATGTGTTCCCATTTACCGGATTTAAAGGAGAAGAAGACCGAAGAAGGTTGGTCCCTGGATTCCTTAGCTCCTAAAAACCATCCTCTAATTACAAGCAATATTCTAAATTGAGTATATCTTAACTAGATATGAGGGTTAGGGTCAGGGTCAAGTTACATACATTAACTATGGACAGCTTTGTGTGTGTCAGTCTTATCTGCCTAAGGTGTTTTTAAAAAATACAAAGGGAGGGGATAGAGTTACCAAGGCATTGAGCACATGCCCTGTCCCTAGAAATAGGTCACTACACACACTGATTGTTTCATCTTAGCTGAGGACCGGGAGCTGGTCCTATAGGTACTTGTCAGGTAGCATCTGTGGGCAGCTGGCCATCTCCCCCCACAGCCACACCCAGCTCTGTCCATCCTTTGCTCTGCTCAAGGGCAGCAAATGGACAGACCTGGTGCAGGTGGGACTCCCTCCTGTCAGGCATGGCTGGCTTCCGACAGGTAGAGAAGTGGGCCAGCTCACATGCACATGACGTGTTCCTTTGGTTCCTTGCTATTGGCTTCCCCTTTCTGTCACCCTGGTCCTGAACCTTTAGCTCCTGTGAGAATTTGGGCTTGCAGATTTCTGTGGACATACTGATTTGGGCAGAAAGCTCATAAGAATTGGCCTGTGTTGGGTGGTGATTCAGGCTGCACCCCTGCCCTGTGCTGAGAGCGCTTTCTTGCTAGGTGCATGCTGTGGCCATAGGAGACCACAAGCCAGGCCTAGAGGGCTCCCAGAGGCCTCCCACGGAGGCGAGCTTCTGGGGGCAGAGTTGAGTTAGGGTGTGAGCCTGGCTCACACACCTCAGGCTCCAGATTATTTTGGCAGAAGGGGGCACTGAAGGTGAAGGTGGCCTGAGGTGGGTGTGCAGGTTTCTCCTGCTCTGTTTCCCACAGCTCCCAACAGCACGGCTTCCTCCTGGGTTGCAGACAGAGGCCTACAGTATGGCTCATGGGTCCGCAATCTGTAGGGCTTGAGGGCCAGGCCTCTGTGGATGGAATCCTGAGAACCCAACCCAGGGTTAGGGTTCGGGCCTAGGGGCATGGAAGACCCCAGCTGCCAGTGCAGAGGCAGGTTGTGGGGGGTGGCTGAGTAGAGGGCAGGTTGTCCGGCATTCGGAGGAGGCCAGTGCTGCACATGAACCTGCCCTTTAAGCACTTTCCCATAGACTTCGGACTTCACCATACTGGACCCTGGGCCAAGCCCAGGAGGCTCCCCTGAAGGCCCCCAACTTTGTCTGTCTCGCCGTCCAACTCTCTCTGTCTCTGTCTCTCTCTCTCAAATAAATATATAAAATCTTTAAGAAAAATGTTTCCTTTATTTGAGATAGTCGACACACTGGGTTACATTACTTTCAGGTGTACAATATGGTGATTCAACTTCTCTGCACGTCCTGCTGTGCTCACCGCAAGCGAAGCTGTCATCTGTCACCATACAATGCTATTTCAACATCATTGACGAGATTTCCTATGCTCTGCCTTTTCTTTCCATGATTTATTCATCGGTGGGTAGTCGATATGGGTGCTGAGTGCAAATGCAGGAACACACGTTTGATAAGGGTGTAGTAAACGGGGGCTCAGACCTGTCTTGGATGGGGATCCAGACCACTCCACCAAGTACGCCCCTTGGACAAGAAGGTAAGAGAGCTCTAGAAAAGATGGACAGATTCCGATGGCACAGAACGGCACCCCTGTTGAGTCTGTTTTGCTGTATACTTCCCTGACCCTTTGGCGCTATTCTCACCCGGACTGCATCTTTTCTGAAAGAATCTGGATCTGAGGCCTGAGGCATTTACATAGCACAAAGATAACACATGTCCCTTATGAGACCCTCATCTTCTCTTGCATGATCTCTGAAGTGACTGCTTCCTGTTTCCTTTTGTGTGAGTTTTTTTCTCTGTACATGTATCAGACAGCCAGTTCTACCCTGTGCTTTACACACAGGCTGTGCTCAGGCAATTCCCAAGAATTTAAATGTGAGTTACTATGACTTTAATGACCAGAGGCCTGAAGCAGTGATCTCTCAGTCAGTGATCAATGGCTCCTCCTGTGGGTTTTATTTCTAATAAAGATGCCAAGCCAAACTCATTATCCTGGAATACCTCAGGTTGAGCATAGCCCAAGAGTAAGAATGAGAGTAATGGCACGTATTCACTGCCTCACATGTTCCAGGCCTTCTTGGGTGCTTTCTTTTGATCATTACAAAATCCTGGCCCAGTGCATTTCAACTCTCAATGTAACATGGACCTTTAAACTCCCACGGCCTAAGACTTCGTCCAAGAGCTCATGCTTGGTGGGTGGTAGATCTTTTGGCACCCCTGTGCTTTGAGGAAAAAGGTCTTATCGTCCTACCATATTTTCCAGCTGTCAATCTGAATGTTATTTGTTTAACAGGAGCCATAAAATGAACAAAGAACAGAAATCTAGTATATAACCGATTGGGAAATGGTCCCCTTGTCAAAACCAAGTGCGTCCCAGTGCAAACAAGATTTGCTCCACGGGCATCTGTGAAACACCAGAATCCACATCTTAATGTATTTAAGAGTCTCTACTGTCTTAAAGCAATCAGAAGACTAGGACTAGACAGGAGATGGTACTAAATTTAACTGTGTAGACCTTATGTTAAGTGGGCAAGTCATTTTATTTTAAGATGACAACCTCAGAGTAGCTATAGGATTCTGTAATCATCAGAGTGATTCTCGTCATTTCTCTTAGTCCCTGCCAATATTTTTTTCTCCACCTGGTGCATTCCGGTCACTATTTACTTGTGTGTAGGCAATTCTCCTTCTTATCCTCTTCTTATGTCATCTCTTCTAAATGATGAAAGGCACCAATGATGCCTGAAATCAGTAAAATAATTAAGCGAATTATCAGTAGAAGTAATGCCTGGTTTACATTAAAAACGATATTGGCCTGAAGACTAAATTCTCTGTCAGGTGGAGGGCCGCTGTCTATACTACCACCTACTCCCCTCTCTTCACAAGTTGGGGGTTTCCAACCTCTCATACAGTGACAATGTTTCATGTTGTTACACACCCCTCGGAAATTGCATGTCTTGACATCACAGTCAAACCCCAAGTCTTGAATAAAAGTGCAGTTCTGTTGAAAACAGTACCTTCCTGGGCCACATGTTGCCCCATCCATGACAAGCCCCATTTCTGGCAGATTCATCCCATGGTGTGCATCGTATCCAAAGCATAACTCTTCCTTAACATCACGTACTATTATGTGACGAAATACAGTGTGCTCACCTCCACCAGGAATTTCTTTGACATCACGACAGTGCAGTAGTCCACAAAAAACATTACGTTCTTCACACTTCACAGGTTTTCCTCCTCCTCGTATCACCTTCACCCCACAGTTCCCAAATCGGTCACCCAAGACATTCAATTTTTGATAGCATGCTGGTGCACCGTCTTTTATTTGGTGGCCAAAGAGGGACTGGCATTGCATGTCACGATCACTGCAGTTTCCTCTCACACAGACAGCCAATGGTGAACATGGAGTTCCATCTTGGGTGTAAAAGTCATTAGGACAATTATGCGACCTCCCATCACAGTATTCTGGGAGATCACAAATACCAAGCCTATCTCTGCAAAGCAATCCAGGTAGAGCATATTTGCAGTCGACACAGCAGGTTCCTTCATTGCAATCACTGCCAGGGGTGAGGATACAATCGCTCTTGCAACACTTATTAGTAGAACACTGTTTTAAGGAGCCACAGTCACATTCTTCCTCCTGATCCACGAACAGGTCACCACAACGAGCAGCTATGTAAGGAAAATTGGTGTACGGTACATTTGGTCTGCTCAAACAAGGATCCCATATAGTGACCTTGTGATGTATTTTTTCATAAGTACAGTTGCTCATCATATCCAATAAATCGGGCTCAGGAGCCATGACGCAGTGCTTCCTTCGAAAGCATTGACAACCTGGTGTATCATGATCAACGCCCAAATTATGACCTAGGGTATGTGCTGCAACAGCCGCAGCCAGAAATACATGGTATCTTGTCATATATACATATGCCACGCCCCACTTAGGGTTGCACGCTCCATTGGGTTGGCCATAGTATGAGGCGCCACCAATTCTATCCCCTGTAAGAAGCATTGAAGTATCATGAGGAATATCATTATACCAACCCCAGTATTTCCACAAACCAAAATCAGTCATGATATTTTGAATCTCTTGCTCTTCATATAAATCTACCTTATCCCTTTTATCCCATATGCACAAAACACGTATGTAGACATCTAGGAGAGTTGGTTTGTAGATGGTATGTAATATGTTGTTCAAAATCACTACACTCTCTATTACATGTGTGAGATTAGTGTCCAATTCAATTAATGACTTAGAAGTTGTGTAGTGGATTTTAAAGTATTTCTTATGTGGCCACCACAAGTACACGGGGGCGGCTCTAGGAGTTCCAGCAAGAATTGTCTCTTCATATTCTGGATCTGTATCGTGCTCTTCAATCTTACACCTTTCAAGCCCTGATAATCTTCTTTGTGACATGAGCAGAGAAACCACATGCTCAAATTTGGAAGAAGTTTCCAGCGGTTTTATTTCATAAGTGAAGTCATCCACCTGCAGCATGCCACGCAGACCCCCATAGCAGGTGTCCAGTGTGCCCATTGAGCCAGGAACCCCTTCCAGGTAGCAGTAGTAGTAGCAGTCTCGGGGGACAAAGGGGTAGTCCTCCTGCATGGCGCCCTGATCGTTATCGGTGATAACAGGAAACTGCCTGGGCAGCAAGTTCTTCTTGATTTTCATGTGAACCACATGTCTTTGGCCCCTGAAGTGAATCTTGTAGGAGAGTTGGCCTTGTCTCTCAGTTCCACCCACCCTATGGGACACCTTCCTGGGGATCACAACTTCAGAGAAAGTGAAGCGCCATCCTGGGAGGGCGTGAGAGCAGCAGACTGCGGACAGGAGTAGCCAGAGGAGAGGCAGCCAGAGGTCACCTGTTGAGTAGGCCCGGGCCCAGGCAGGCCCCATGGTTGAAGGAGCCTGTGACCACAGAAGATTCAGTCGGGTGGGAGGTAGGCAAGATGATCACCCATACAGCAACTTTTCTAGCAGGGGAGTCTGGAGGAGAGCAGAGAGGGACTGGGGGCACGGGCTCCCCAGGGAGGGAGTGGGGAGCTATTATGTAATAATGGTGTGCTCATCAGGGGAGGCTGTGCTCAGTGAGCTGGGCATCCTAGCCCAGGGGACTTAGAGAAGAGAAAAAAATAGGAGGAATTGGGAACAGTAGTTCCCATGGGCTGAAAGGTCCCATGGTCTCTTGGAGAAGTCGCAGGGGAAGAATAAGTGCATTTGGTAGCATTTTCAGTAAGGGAAGGACTTTTCTTTCTCAAACCTAAATGGCATAAGGGATCAACAAGTAATTAAAACAGAGGATGGAGAGGAGATTGGAAGTTTCTCCAAATAATTCTGAGGAGAATTAGGTCTCATACTTTACAACAATTGAGTGCACTTGGGATGATTGGTATAAAGAAAGAATAAATAGAGTTCATGTGTAGAATAATTAGAGTCTGTAACAACCATTTCTTATAAAGTCAAACTTGTATCTACCCTACGTCCCAGTGATCCTGGCCCTAGGAAATTACCCACAAAGACTAGAATATGAATGTCCACATCAGCTGGATTCATGAACTTATTCCACAAACTGGGAAAAAAAAAACAACTCAGCACTTAACAGATGAATGAATAAACAAACTGGCATATTCATCTATTGGAATAATCCCTCTTAAATCAGAACTAAATTCTGATCCATGTAAGAACATGGATTTCTCTTACAGTATGATGATGACAGAAGGAATCAGACCAAAGGAACTTAATACAGGATTTAATTTGAATCAATTCTGGAATAGTCTAGAATAGGCTTAATTTATGAGACTAGAATTTTTTTATAAGATTTTTAAATTTATTTTTTGAAAGAGCAGAGCATTCTGGAGAGAACAGGAGTGGGGAGGAGGGGCAGAGGGAGAGGAAGAAGGTTTGGACTTGGGACTTCATCCCATGACCCTGAGATCATGACCCGAGCCAAAGGCAGATGCTTAATAGACTGAGCCACCCAGGCGCACCTGAGACTAGAATTTAAATCAGTAGTTTCCTGCTGTGGCAATGGAAGAATGGAGGGAACTTTCCTGAGTGACAGGAAACTTGTGTATCTTGATGGGGATGTGCTGTGGATTGAATGTTTGTGTCCCTGCAAAATTCATGGGTTGAAATCCTAAACCCCAGCATGATGGTGGTAGGAGGTGGGGCCTGTGGAAGGTGATTAGGTCATGAGGGTGGAATCCTCAGGAATGGGATTAGGGTCTTTATAAAAAAGAGGCCCCAGAGGGATCTCTCACCACTTCTGCTCATGGCTTTACAGCAAGAGGAACCATCTATGAAGCAAGAAGCGCCCTCACAGGACAATGAATCTGCTGGTGACTTCATTTTGGATTTCCTCTCTTCGCAACTGTGAACAAGAAGCCATCCAGTCATTACTATTTTGTTATACTGGCCAAAAGAAGCTAAAATGTGTTTACAAATCAAACAAATCAAAACTCATCAAGGTCCACCTTAAAATCTACTTATTTTATTGTATGCTAAGTATACCTCAAAAAATTTACATTTTCTATTGTGGAATAATGGACATACAATATTACATTAGTTTCAGGTGTACAACACAGTGACTTGACAATTATAGACATTGCATAATTGTCACCACAATAAGCCTAGTTACCATCTGTCACTTTTCAAAATTAATTCAATATTATTGACTATATTGCTCGTTCTCTATATTACATCTCCATGATTTACTTTATAATGGATGTTTGTACTTCTTAATCCTCTTCACTCATTTTGCCTTGCTCCGAAAGCCCCTGCCCTTTTGCAACAACTAATCTATTCTCTGTATCTAGGAGTCTGGGTTTTGTTTTCTTTTGTTTGTTTGTTTGTTTGTTTTTGAGATTCCACATGTAAGTAATCATGTAATCATGCAAAATTTGTCTCTGTCTGACTTATTTCACTTAGCCTCATGTCTATCCATGCTGTTGCAAAATTTCATTTTTTTTTAATGGCTGAGTAGCATTCCACTTTATATACATGTCACATCTTCCTTATCCATTCACCCATGGATGGACTTTAAGGTTGTTTTCATATCTTGGCTATTGTAAATAATGCTGCAACAAACATAAGGGTGCACATATCTTTTCAAAGTGTGATTTTGTTTGCTTTGGATGAGCACCAAGAAGAGGAATTGCTGATCATATGATAGCTCTATTTTTAAGTTTTTAAAAAGATTTTATTTATTTATTTATTCATTTGAAAGAGAGAGTGCTCAAGTGGGTGGAGGGAGAGGGAGGGAAACTCCAGCAGACTCCATGCTGACTGTAGAACCTGATGTGCGGCTTGATCTCATGACCCTCAGAACATGATCTGAGCCCATACCATGAGTCAGTTACTCTGAGTGAGTCACCTAGGCACCCCAGTATTTTTATTTTTTGAGGATCCTCCACACTGTTTCCCATAATGACAGTATCAATTTATATACCCACCTACAGTGTGCTAGAGTTCCATTTTCTGCACATACTTGTCAAAACCTGTTATTTGCTGTCTTTTTCATAATAACCAGTATGACAGGTGTAAGGTGTTACCCACTGTGGTTTTGATTTGCATTTCCCTAATGTTTAGTGATATTGAGCATTTTTCCAGTGCCTGTAGGCCATCTGAATGTCTTCTTAAAAAAAAAATGTCTATTCACATCCTTTGCCTATTTTTAATGATTGTTTATTTTGTTTGTTAATAGATTGTATGAGTTCTGTATATATTTTGGATTTTAACTCCTTATTGAATATATGATATGCAAATATCTTCTTCCATTCTGTAGTTTTTTGTTTCATTTTTTGATGGTTTTCTTTCCTGTACAGAAGCTGTTTAATTGGAAATATTCCCATATGTTTAATTTTGCTTTTGTTTCCCTTGCCTTTGGAGTCACAGAAAAAAATTTGCTAAGACCAATGTCAAGAAGCTTACCACCTATGTTTTTTCCTAGCATTTTATGATTTCAAGTATTAAATTCAAGTCTTTAATCTATTTTGAGTTGATTGTTTTAAAGATTTATTTATTTATTTGACAGAGATAGAGAGTGAAAGCAGGTGGGGTGCCAGGCAGAGGGAGAGGGAGAAGCAGGCTTCCTGCTGAGGAAGGAGCCCAAAACAAGTCTCAATCCCAGAACCCTGGGATCATGACCTGAGCTAAAAGCAGGTGCTCAACAAACTGAGACACCCAGGTGCCCCTGATTTTTTTTTTTTTTGAGAGAGAGAGAGAGAATGTGAATGGGAGAGGGGAGAGGTGGAAGGAGAGAAGAAATGTTTTTCTTTCAAGATTTTATTCATTTATTAATTTATTTAAAGAGAGAGCACAAACATGTGAGGCAGGGGTGGGGCAAAGGAGAGGAAGAGAATATCAAGCAAACTCCCCACTGAGCAAGGAGCCTGACACAGTGCTTAATCTCTTGGTCATGACCCTGAGGATCATGACCAGAGCTGAATTCAAGAGTGAGACAGTTAAATAATGGAGCCACACTGGCACCCCTATTTTGAGTTGATTTTTACATAAAGTGTAAGATAGTGGTCCAATTTCATGGTTTTGAATGCAGCTATCCAGTTTTCTCAACACCATGTACTGAAGACATTGTTCTTTCTCTATTGTACATTCTTGCCTCCTTGTCATATTTGAATTCACCGTGTATGCATGGGTTTACTTTTGGGCTCTATTCTGATCTTTAGATCTATGTGTCTATTTTTATGCCATTACCACACTATTTTATTACTATAAACTTGTAATATAGTTTGAAATCAGGGGATATGATACCTCTGGCTTTGTCTCTCTCAAGATTGTTTTGTCCATTTGGGGTCTTTTGTGATTCCATAGAAATTAGATATTATTTTTTCAAGTTGTCCACAATAGCCAAACTGTGGAAGGAGCTGTGAAAAATGTCATTAAAATTTTGATAGGGATTGCATTGAAACTGTAGATTGCTTTGGGTAGTATGGACTTTTTAATATTGATTCTTCCAACCCATGGGCACAGAATAGAATATCTTTCCAATTATTGGTGTCATCAATTTTTTTCATAAGTGTTTTATACTATTAAGAATACAGACCTTTCATTTCCCTGGTTAAATTATTCCTAGGTATTCTATTCTTTTTAAAAAATTTATCTCCTATTATATTCAGTTAGCCAACATATTAGTTTTTTATGTAGTGTTCAATGATTTAACAGTTGCATATAACACCTAGTGCTCATCACAACATATGCCCTCCTTAATACCCATCACCTGGCTACCCCATCCAGTCACCCCCTCCCTTCTGAAACCTTCAGTTTGTTTCCTAGAGTTGAGAGTCTCTCCTGGTTTGTCTCCCTCTCTGATTCCCTCCCCTTCAGTTTTCCCTCCCTTCCTCCATGGTCTTCTGCACTATTCCTTATGTTCTTAGCATAACCCCTCCAGTTCCATCCCTGTTGATATAACTGGTGGGCATTCATCCATTCTGATGGCTAATTAATATTCCATTGTATATATCACCCCATCTTCTTTATCCATGCATCCGTTGAAGGGCACCTCAGCTCCTTCCACAGTTTGGCTATTGTGGACAGTGGTGCTATGAACATTGGGGTGCATGTGCCCATATATTTGGGGTAAATATCCAGTAGTGAAATTGCTGGGTTATATGGTAGCTCTACTTCTAACATCTTGAGGAACCTCCATACTGTTTTCCAAAGTGGCTGTACCAACTTGCATTCCCACTAACAATGCAAGAGGGCTCCCCTTTCTCCACAGCCTTGCCAACACTTATTGTTTCCTGCCTTGTTAATTTTTGCCATTCTAGCTGGTGTAAGGTGGTATCTCATTGTGGTTTTGACTTGAATTTCCCTGATGGCTAGTGATGTTGAACATTTTTTCATATGTCTGTTAGCCATTTGTATGTCCTCTTTGGAGAAGTACCTGTTCATGTCTTCTGCCCATTGTCTGACTGGATTGTTTTTTGAGTGTTGAGTTTGAGAAGTTCTTTATAGATCTTAGATACCAGCCTTTTATTTGTAATGTCATTTGC